ACATGTGGACTTTATGTTCTAGTACATAAAATAACTGTGCCTGTTGCAGGTTATCTATATTTGCTGTGTAAATGTTAAAAACCTGTTTTGTTCTGCCCCATCAAAATGAGCAGATTGTATGTTCTACAGGCGGTTTGAGAGCGCTCATAAGAGAAGGGATAATGTTTAAGCCTAGTAGTTGGGGGTAATAATGACAGTAATTACAGAACAGGCAATTACAGTAGTTTGTTGTCAGAGCACTGATGTTTTTAGGCACCTGGAGGTGCATCCTCCTGAGCACGTTACAAGTCAGATGCAGATCAGTGACCAAGTCTTTGTTCTCCTGGGATGTTGGACTCTTTTTTTCTGTATCAGTTTTTTTTATTTGTTTAGCCAGTTGAATCATAGTTAATCAGGGAAGCATGTTATCAATAGTTTCATCTAAATTTGATTGATCTTATGGATCACGTAATGCCGCGGTTCTCAAAGTGTGTGGCGCGACCCACTGGTGGGGAATTGAGACGTGACAGGTGGGGCGCACCAAGTTCTGGTGTGTGTGTGTGTGACTATAAATGTAGAACGTGTGAGAGCAAACTGTCCTTATAGCTGTATGTTGCCGCTTTTTAGACCAATCAAACCCACAAAGTAATCATTACTAGCCTACATGCAGTCTAATTAAAAGAACATTAGATATAGAAAAATTTCACCTGGAACTGAAGTGCCAAAATAATGATTGACGTGACGTCGGCATATTATTTGTAACGGAATAAACTTTCGCGCCCCAGTGTTGCCAACTCAGTCGCTATATTTCAGACCCCTCCAGCGACTCTTTATCAAAAAAGCGACTAGCGACAAATTTGCGACTTTTGAAGACTCTTACGTGAAAGCACGTATCGTTCCTTTTCTTGTCCTCCAGCGGCAGGTGCTGCCGTGGGGCGCCTCCCCCATCCCCACCCCGTTCTCCCCCGCTATCACAGGAGTCCCTCTCAGCGCTGCAGTAAGGGACACAGCATGTTTACCCTCAGCGTCCAGACTGCAAATAAAGTGCACATGCGCCGGGATTGACGGCGCAGGTTGATCATAATTAACTGAATTTGAAATATTTTATCTTAAATAAATAGGACCAGTTTATTGAAATGATGTCTGACTCCACCCTGAAGCTCAGGTTTAATGCTCAGACTCATAGTGAATTCTGGTTAGGAGTGGAGAGGGAGTATCCACTCATCGGGCAGAGAGCTGTGTGCATTCTTCTTCCCTTTGCCACATCATATCTCTGTGAGATGGGCTTTTCAACTGTTGCTTCACTGAAAACAAAATAGAGATCTCCGCTGAACATTGAGCATGACTTGAGAGTGGCAGTATCAAGCCTGTATCCCCGTTTTGAGAAACTGTGCAATGCAAAACAGGCTCATTGCAGCCACTAATGCAGGGATAAATAGACCTGTATTACCAGATGGATTTCACTTCTTTTCTTTTATTAACAGATTGCAGAGTGGCACTTTAATTTTTTCTATCTTTGAGCTTGATACAAATTTTGATACAGCTGCATTTTTATTTTCTTTATTTTTGAGCTTGCTGTTATTTGATGTAGATAGTTTGTATTTAGATACTACTTGTTACTTCAATAAAATTGGAACATTTTAAGATTGTTGCATATTTCATTAGCATTGTGTTGGGGCGATGGGGACAGGCGGGGCTTGAAAATTCCCTCTTGTCCAAAGTGGGGAATGACAGAAAAAGTTTGAGAACCACTAACCTAATGATTCATTGGTTAATTCAATTCAATTATGTTTATTTATAAAGCGTTACTTCACAACTCATGTCACCTCAAGGCACATAACAGTTCACCAGATCATCCAGTCGAATTCATTCATAGTTTTCTATCTAAGGAAAACCAGTTGATTGCATCGACTCATTGACTCGAATGCAATCCCTCACACTAAGCATGCTTTTACAGACAGTGGAGATGAAAAAACTCCCTTTTACCAGGAAGAAACCTCCAGCAGAACCAGTGTGAGCGGACATCTGCCGACTGGGGTTCAAGGTGACGGAAACAGAGATACAAAAGGCAACTGCAAAAGGCGGCCCCGTCCCGGAAACACACAGCCAGGCAGACGAGCTCTGATCCAACTCCCATGTCAGAGGATGAAGAGAGCACATCCAGTCAGTCACAGTCAGAGAAACAGGACTACACTGAAAAACAGGCAGATCTCCAACATCTATAAACAAAAGTGTTGATGATAGCAGCAACACTGATATTTATGGAGACGTGGCAAAGCTACTATTAGTTAGTGGCCCTTCTCTTAAAATATTTAGTATATTTAGTTTTCTGTTAGATCAAGATGATCTTTCTAAAAACACTAAAAGCTAAATGTTGTTTGTTTTTTTAACAATATGCTGAGCATAAATAATGCATTATTTTCACAACCTTGTGCCACCTGTATTAAAAAAACCTGACTGTTTAAAAAAAGATGAATAGATGTAAAACTGTGTCACTCCTACATCCTGTCAGATTACAAATGCCACACCAATCTAAGGTGCTGGTTGCTACACAGCAAAAATGGCAGTGTTAAACTCTAAAATGTGGTGTTAATTAAATAATGTGGGTTTTGTATTAACAATGCACAGCATTAAATTAACACTACCAGTGTAACTTGTGACATGTTTATGTTGTTAGATTGGAGTGTTGCTGTTTACTTTAAGCCACGCCATCCAGTAACAGCTGCAATAGGCGTAACAGAGTCTATTAAGACAGAGAGTATTAAGATAAAAGTTCACTCTTCTAGTGGCCTCGTTCTATAAATGTACATTTTTAGATCATTTGAGGCAAGAACATTATACTGTCCAGTGTCACTATATGGTCCATTTACTGACTTAGTTCGTAATTAAATAAAACAGTTCAGGGCTAATTTTAGCCCGTCTGAAGCAGCCTTCTCTCAGCATAGCCGTGTGTGAAGTACCGCTGGCTCTGATAGTGATTTTTTGTTTTATTTATATTTAAATGAAAACAGTAGGAATTTATTATTATCTAGAGACTATTAATAAAAGGAGGTGAAACGCAGCTCCAGATGAGCCGAGTGTGTGGTGATGTCACAGGTATGCTTCTGTTCTAATTGACCCATATTTATTTTCCCTGCGCCCATTCTTCCCTAGTCCACACTTTCCTGTGTTCTTCAGAAGAACATACTTGGCGAGAAAACAAGTCAGTACTTACGTTCTTGTGAATTGAGAAAGGCCTTGGTTTAGCATTAAATAAAATGTATTTCGGGGCATGCTTCGGTGTTGCATTGGCCAGCGTGCACGACTAGATTGACCATCAGCAACAGTTTCTTTAATGAGATATTTCCAACTTGGCCTTGTGCTAAAACACGCCTTTATGATCCAGAGCAGTAGATTTCTGCTCATAAACATCTTTTTCACTTTTGATTCATCATTGGTCCATCAATGACATACAAATGTCTTGATCTGCCCTAATAGCTCATCTTAATTTCTCATGCCTTTAACCTGCTTAACTCTGTCCATCTCCTAATTATTACTCTTCTCATCCACCTGCCGGTTTCCCTTATATTAGGCTCAGTTCCAGCTATCGGGGGCAGATCATTGATGTTTTTTTTGCTGTCTGTTTATACCAGTAAGTTTGTCTGTTTGGGTTATTCTATGGTTCACATCCTGGTTCCCGGCAGCCAGAGGAGTGAGAGGGTTTTAGTGTTTGACTTGTCTTCTGATTGTGTCCTGATCCTTCTCCGCAGAGCCCTCAAGGTTTTGGCTTGGAATGCAGAGAGGCTCAGTTTTATTCCCGTAAGCCTGGCTCCTATGAGGAGACCAGTTTAAAGTCCTGCTCAAATCCTGGCTCCACGTCTTGTCTCTGCTTCCCTCTACTACTGAGCCTGCCCATCTGCAACTGAGCTTGCCTGTCTGCTTATGTGCGTGTCTGTGTGGGCACGCTTCTGCACCTGACTCTGGACTCTGAACCTGCCTAAAAGCTCTGTGGATACCTGGAAGTCTGGATCCTGCTGTTTCAGTTTCAATGGAATCCTCTGACAGATCGTAGGTTTTCTGGATTCCTGAACTGTTCCTGCCTGCTCTGTCATCCCCTGACCTGAATTGGCTTCCTGCAACTTCTCTGGGTCTCCACCGTCAGGGACACTCTGGGCGACAGTTGTTGGCCCTTTAGCTGGATATCACCCCTTTCAAGGGAGATGGACTGAGTAGTGAAACCAGGTAGGTGACTCACTGTGATTATCATCTTCTGTCAGATGATCTTGGTCATGTACTGTGTTTCTTTCCTCCAGAGAGTGTCAGTGATTGGGCGGTCTCTGTTCCCCCTCCTGGAGCTGCCGCGAGCCACGGATCCACAGCGGCATGCTTCTGTTCTGTCAATGTTTTTATTTGAATAAATGTTTTCAACATTTCTACTGGCTATCTCACCTTTTATACTTGGCCCATCTGTCCCGCTTCATGACAACAAAAATGGCTTTAGTTTGTACTAAATAGGCCTATGTAAACTAAAGCAGAGTATAGCCTCTTTTTACTGTTAGAACATTATAAAAACTAAAAAAAGTCAAAGATGAATATCCGTTCATAAACTTTGCTGAATGAAGTCAAACCATTTTTGGTCGTTATCTGAAGAAGCCTCCCTTTATCAGCTCCCCGCTGTCCTCGACAGAACTCCAGCATCTGTTTCTATTTAATTTGCCGTTTGAAATTTAATTTCACAGATCTCGTTAGGAACCCGCAGGAAGTGAACACGGCGGCGGCACATGAGACACATATGAAGTTAGGAGTCAAAAAGGGAAACAAAGAGAAGTGAAGAGAGGAGAAACTGGATAATGAGAATTGATCGATATGAGGGGGTGGGGGTGATGTGTATGGGCTTTACCTCTTAAAAACACAGAAAACAAAAGGTGTGCACACCTGCATGAGCTCACTGAGACAGAATCTGTTAGGCTGTGTGTGAATCTACAGGATCTATATCTACCCCTGGACTGTGATCGTGTCGGCGGTGTGTTTCTGTGCTGCACCTGTTCTTGTTGCTGGAGATCCAGTCAGAGATGTAGGCAACAGCCTGACGGTGGCACTGCTTGTTCCCAAAGCTGCAGGCCAACATTATCAGCTCTCTCTGCAACTCTCTGCAGAAAATACACCAAGCAGAGGACATTCAGACGTCACACTTAAAGCGACAACATGTTTTTGTTCTGTTTTTATCAATAAGCTTCAGTCTAGAGGAAATTACTTTAATCCTGACTCAGTTTAGAAGACTGCTAATAAAACACACAGTAGAAACTGAACCAGATGTTGAAACTTCTCCCCGGGTTGCAATTGCAAAGTCTGTTAACCAAACATATAGAACAAAGCGTAAAAAGGAAAGGAAATTTGCTCTTAAACTCCTCGCTGTTGTTGAATCTTCTTTCTACCCGGGTAGAAGAAATATTTAATCAAAAGACCAAATGAATGACTAAGTGCAGACAAATGATGGGTAGATGGAGCGGTATGTCCAGAAGTGTGAGTCATTGTTTCGTACTCAGTCTGGTAGGACGCCTGCAGGATGTTTCCTTCTGCTCCAGGTCCATTTGTAGGCCAGCCCATCTGATGGTATCGTGATGCCACCTGCTTCAGCACATAGTCCTGGAAAGACCCACAGACACAGTCAGAACTGAGCCGACCATCATGAAGCTGCTATTGATCTATTGTGGTGATCACAGAGTGCTTGTTTACACTGAACAGCCTGTAGTCGTCCGTGCGGTCCAACAGTTTATCCAGCTGGTACAGCGCTCGGCTGGCGGCGTGCCATGGAAGAAAGGACGTCTCCTCCGGTAGGTAGCCAATCAGCTGCAAGGGAATGCCCTGGGGGAGGTAGCCCGCCCTGATGAAAGAGAACAAGGAAAACCATCAAGATTGATAACAGCCAAAAAGAGGTGTCAGAAAAAAAAGTAGGCAAAACCAAACAAAAGCATCCTGGTTCCAAAGAAAATCTTTGATAATATATATTTTTGAATTTCTTTCAATCTAATTCTAATTAATAGATTATTATTACAATGGATCAATGGTTCCTTCTGCTGAGCTACTATCATGTAACTTAACATGCATCCCTTCTCCAACACCTGAATCCAATGTTTGGCTTCCCTAATCAGTATTCAGTCATTCAGCTCTGCAGAGGCCTGATAAGAAGACATTTATTTGGTTCAGATGTGTTCAAGATGATGCATTGAGGAGCAGCTCCACAGGTCTTGACTTGGGCATTAATGAATAGCTCCATCTACCAAGATAACATGAGCATTTGGCAGGTCCAAAGAATTTGTAATCTTTTAACCTTGAAAACTCAATTAATTTCTGTCATTTAATGCAAAAGCATATTCTTTGCACATAAAGTGAACCAAACATGTTAGCATATTAAGCCAAGTTAGAATGGCTAAAATATCCCACTGACATGTCAGACACAGAGGACAAAATGAGGACCTTATTGCTCAGCATTTTCCAGGATGATAGCATCATTTAAAGCCTGAAAATGTAATTTGTTGCTTCTGACTGCATAAGTGAAAAGTGAAAACGGTGTTGAAATACAAAGAGATGTCTGCGGCCCTCAGGAAGATTGTTTAAGGAAATCAGATGTGAAATCACAACTTACAAGAAATAATTGGAATCCAAACTTCCAAATTTAAAAACTGTAAAAAAAAATAAATTAAGAAATAAAATATTTGTTGAAAAAAATACGTATAAGAAGATCTGAAAACAAATATTTTAAAATCATAAAATCTATGAAATCAACAAAGTTACACTCAACCTTACTTTGATCAAGAAGTAGTTTTTTTGCATTTTTTTTTTTACAAATTCTTTTTACAAAAGTGCCTGTAAAACGTTTCTTTAATAGAACAAAATTCACTCCATATTGATCCATTATGTAAGGGAAATGTATGCTAAATAAAATAAAACCAAATCTTAGAAACCTAAGGGTTATTTTTGACAAAACATTGTCCTTAGAGCATCACTCAAAACTACTGACAAGGAACTGTTTTTACCAACTGAGGAAAATCTCCAAACTTAGAACAATTGTGTCCAGAGATGATCTTGAAAAGATTATCCACGTCTTTGAGTCTTCCTGCTTAGACTACTGTAGCAGTCTAATCTCATGTCTACAGAAAAAGGAGTTGTCTCGTCTTCAGCGGGTTCAGTACTCTGCGGCGAGGTTACTGACTTGTACAAACAGAAGGGATCATAACACAGATTCCAAAAGCTCTTCATTGGCACCTAGTCTCAATCGGTTCTAGTTTAAAATCCTGCTGCTGCTGTTGTGTCCTTATTTTTTGGCTCTGATACTGATACCCGATACCTGGCTGTGCAGCATTGGCCAATATCAATACCATTCCATCTGTTTGAAATAAATGTGTGTATATATGAAGAACTGCATACTACTTTGATTTAAAATAATTGCCATCATGGCTTTGTCAAGCTGCTGCCTACCTTTGTGAAACAGGAAAAAGACTAAAACAAAGTGAATCCAGTAGAATTTTTTATTGCCTACCTGGAATGGGTGACAATAGTTGAATAAACTTTTGGCTCTCAAAATAGCATCGGTGCCCTATTTGTTGGTACTCGTTGGTAGCGATGCCACCATTTTAGTTCTCGATTGGGGCCCTGCCCAATACTTTTGTCTGTATCGGTGCAACACTAGTCCTTATGCCCCCGCTCGGAAGCTGAGGTCTCATGACCAGAACGTGTTCATGGTCTCTGGTACTCGTTACAGGAACAGGGGAGATTGCTTCTTTCAGGCAGTTGCTCCGACGCTCTGGAACAATCTTTCCTTGTGCTTACTTGATTCTGTTTATGTTTTTAAGCGCAAACTGAAAATTGATTTGTTCATTGTTTAAGAAAGCATTTTAATTCTAGTATGTTAAGTGTTATTTTATGAACATATCTTTTGTGCTTGTAAACATATTCTTATTTGTATTGTAATTTTGTGAAGCACTTTGTGACCATTATGTCTGTGAAATGTGCTATAAAAATAAACATTACTTACTTACTAATTCAAAACTTATTCAACTAATTTCTTTCCTACAGAGAAAGCCAAAAATCACTTTTTCTATAAAGCTCTTCTAATGTGATACTTCAAACTTGGCAGAAGAAAACATTAATAAAAACATGTCTATTTACCCACTAATGATATTAAACCAGCACCACAGCAAGCAAGGCAGGTGGAGTGTCTCTCCAAATGCCACAACAGTATACATTTTTCACATTAAACATTGAAACAATTATTAACCATATTGTCTTTTTTAAATAAAACCCAAAAAACAAAAATGTTTTCATGTTTTATCACTCCCTTTATCTAAACTACTGCTGTAGAAGTTTGGGGACTCACAGAGATGACCTCTGGGTCATTTAATCAATGTCTAGTCAGATCGTAGTGTAGACTCACTCTTCAACTCTCAGGAGTGATTCTCAAAATAACCCACCACAGAAACAAGTTAAGGGAAAGCTAGCCTCTAAATGCCACAGAAACTATTAGGCAGGCCGTGCTTTATTTGCACCTCCGTGCAAAGTAACAACGTTTCTGTGTTGTGAAACTTTTGGTGATGTCAATGCTGGTTTTGTTAGGAGGGGTACTTTCTGTCCTACCACTTAATGTTAAGTTCCATCCAAAAGTCAAGTGAAGCAGTAGAGGTAAAGTCAAGAGCTTGAGGGCGTTTCTTTTTTAATTCTTGATGTTCATAGAGGAAAACTTGGTTTTCATTCAAGAGATCAATGCAAACACTTGACTCAAATGTTCAGGGACACACCGACACTCTGACGTCCACAGAAAGTTAATCTTTTAGAGATAAGACTAAGTCTCTGAGCAGCCGAGACACCCCTCAATTCGTCGCATTTCCATAATCTCCCTCATATCATCACCAAACCCATCATGCACCTGGGCGATGATGCATTTCCATAATCCATCCGGCCTGCAGAGACTTTGAGTTCAGAATGATCCAAAACGCTGACATGATTTCACATAGAAGCACCAGAGAGATGTGGCAGTAACCATGGCAACATCAGCGGACCGTTTATCTGTTTTCTTTCCTGTACTCGTCGCCTCAGCGTTTTCCATTTTATCAAACTCCATCCATCATCTGTTTGACCACATTAGCATTCAAATGTGCATCTCTACTCAAACTGAACGGGATCTAGAGTCTGGAGATAAGGGATGGAAATATTTATACTGCTTGAAAACTACATAAACTGGTTTGAAATGAAAACATGAAGAGGGGAATGTCAGCCAAACTCACTGATAGAGTATGATCACAGAGATGCAGAAGGTTTTCCAATCATGATCTCCAGCCATACGTGTTCTGGTGCTTATTTGTGTCATTAAATGTGGTGTTGCCAATTGGGTCCTCAGCAAACACCATGGAGACGGCACATGTGCCCAGCGCATTATGAACACTGGTGACAGCACTGGACAAAAAAATTAAATCTAGATAAGTCATTTTTTCTTAAAATAACTGCATTTGTTCTTGGATGGAGGAGGTAAAACAGACATTTTGCCAATGGAACAAGACAATTTAAATTTGAAATAAGAAAACATAACTGCATTGTCTTATTTCAAGTGTATGTTATCTAATTATCTTATTTTAAGAGTAAAAATAATCATTCCATTGGCAAGCTATCTTATTTATCTACTAAAATTAATGGTTATTGTAGGATTTTTTACTTATATCAAGATGGTGTTCCAGTGAGTGTTTAAAAATTTTACACACTTACAACAAATTAAATTCAACAACTTCTTATTTGTCATCTTATTGTGTATGAAAAAAATATCCTTCGTGAAAATACAGGTTATTTTCTGATACTTTACTAAACTTACATAGCAATTTCCAAAAAGTACCACAATACTTTCTAATTCCTTCTGAAATATGCAGTTTTTTTTTTTATAACTGAAAACTTTCTTCTGGTAAACATTTTCTCTAGTTCTTAGCTAAAACTAAAAGGGTTTGTATCAGAATGTACATTTTTGGGGATTTCTGGAACATAGAATGCACTTTTCGTTTACTGGTTGTATTCCTTGGGAATTCTTGAGTAGGATCACACATGTTGTTACTTTATTAAATAAACTCCTTTTACAGGTGATTTTTAGGACACCTGCCTGGAATATGGAGGTAATCTTCCAGAAAGAAAAGGGTATTTTATAGCGCCTTTTAGGCCCCGTCCACACAAAGTCAAAACGAACACGAAACGCTGATATTTTCCAAAACGTTTGTCGTAAAGACGGAGACGTAAAATAAATGTGATCGTCCACACGAATGCATGAAAACGCTGCAAAATGTATGCCAGGCCTGTAAGTGGCGCTGTGGTGCCAAAGCAAAAATAAGCGACGAAATGTTGGGCATGCGCACTAATATTTATACATGGTTGCCCTGCGGGTCCATTTTCGTGGTTCAGTCAAATTCAGGTGCTGAACTATGTCGTCGATATTGCTCTGTTCTTCCTGGAGATATTCCAGAAGAAGAAGATTCTGTTGTAAGCCCGACAGCAGGGCGAGTAGCATGAGCAGCAACCATTCAATACAGTACGGCGCCATTGTTGTTGTGATACTGTGTCGCGCATGCGTGTTTAGAGGCGACGCTATGACGCATGCGTGTAACAAAAAAAATGCGGTTAGAGCTTAAAGATGGAAACGCGAAAACGGCGTTTTGAAATCTTCCCACTCTGAAGGCTGAATAAAAAAAAGATCGTTTACAGACCCCCAAAACACCGGCTTCGTGTGGATGAGAGGCTGGTTTGGTGAAAAATTTGTGCGTTTAGGCCAGGGTTCGGCTTCGTGTGGACGGGGCCTTAAAAAAAAAAACATTTTTGTTTTTACATCTTATTTTCTATTAATTTCAGGAATGT